TGAACCAGAATGTAGGACATTTGATTCCTCAGTGACCTGAAATCAAAATGAGAAAAAGGAGATGCTTAATTAAGTTTGGACTGTGGACCTGGAATAAGCATCTACAGGAAAGTAAAGCCTTAATAATGAGATAGCTGTGGTTTTATATTGTAGTGGACAAGTTGAGTCTGAGTCATAAAAGGACTAATGCATATAGGCATTCTTGTCATTGAAGATCAGACCAATAATGCCTGAAAATGGGTATGAACTTTATCTCCAACTGATTCTCTTTTGAGATGCTGTCAGAGAAAAGGGAAATTTTTTCTAGAGGAAGTTGGAAAGTAGATGTAAGGCATGTCGGCTCTCAAATAAATGATTGCAGGTGAGACATACTGCAGCATGTCTAAAGCTTGGGTTCTCTGAATCAACTATTGATGTATGGAACCAGATTATGATATTTGACAAAACCAAGTAGCTAGGGAATATATTATTAGGATGGTAGACAAGGATCATCACATATACTTTTAGCACTACCATATATGTGTATTTGTGTGCTGATCACACCTGCGAGATGCCTCCTTACATGCTGCTACTCATGCATGTTGATGAAGGAAACCAAAGGGTTTCATCTGTTTATTCGAATTCAAATTTGATCTGGTTATAATTGTGCCCCATGTGGATCCATCAAAAAATCCACTCTGATAATTTTAAAATTTTTATACTTACATTTACCTTAAAATGCTGTTTATTTAATAAGAGCCACATGTTGTGTTTGTCTATAGTGTAAATCTGAACCAGAGGTGCAACTTTTTGCATCATAAAACCGGATGCAAAGTTTACACCACATCCCTCCTACATCAATTCTCTCTCATATGACTTCACATCATCTTGCTTATTACCTCACTTTGAAACAAATAAATAAATAAACAAATAAACAATCCTCCTATTGCTAATTAGTGGGAACTGGGAACACACATCAATTTACTTCTCACAAACAAATAATGCAAAGTCAAATCTAAAACAAAAGTAATTAAACCAAAATCTACACTCAACATGTTTGCACTTTCATGCATTTACACTAAACAAATTCGCAGTGCAAATAAAATGAGCCATTTAATCAAATGATCATTTGATTATTAACCTACAACATTACAGTCATTTCTAGTTCATTTCATTAATAAAATATAACATTCTAATCTTTTTAGGTTCCGTTCGCTTTTTGGTAGTTATTTATCTAGGTAAATGCAATTATCAGGGTAAGTTTTTCCTGAGAAACACTTAGGAGTGGCAAATAGGTGGATCGGGTATGTTGACCCACTAACCCACCATGACCCATCACCAAACCTTGTTAAAGGGTCATAGCCCACCCTAACCCTAACCCGCCCATATTGACCCACTTGACCCATCCATATTAACACTTAACCACCCTCACCCATACTAACTCACCTACCCACACTTATAAATACAAAAATGGGTCGGGACACTCCGTATACACAAAATAATAAATTTTGAGAGAATAATCTCTCTCAAGACTGCCACGTGACGAAAATGAATCGGGTCAAACCGTATACCCAAAAATACAAAAATTGTAGAAAAATGCAGAAAATGCAAGAAAATACCAAAAAATTGTAGAAAAATACAAAAACAAAAAACTAAAAAATTACAGAAATTTAGAACTTTTGTAGAAAAATCAGAAAATATGCAAAAAATACCAAAACAATTGTAGGAAATGCATGAAAAACACCAAAAAATGCAAAAATTATGCAGAAAAGCACCAAAAATTGTAAAAAATACAAAAAATACCAACAAATATAGAAAATGCACAAAAATACCAACAAATATAGAAAATGCAGAAAATAACAAAAAATTGTAGAAAATGCAAAAAATGCAAAACTTTTATAAAAGTGCTTTCGCAAAAGTACTTTTATGAAAGTACTTCTATAAAAGTGCTTTCATAAAAGTACTTCCATAAAATCACTTTTATAAAAGTGCTTTTATGCTTTCATAAAAGTTCTTTCGTTAAAGTACTTTTATAAAAGTGTTGTGTAAAAGTACTTTTGTAAACTTTTATGAAAGTGATTTTATGTTTCGTAAAAGTACTTTAACAAAAATGCTTTCGTATAAAAGTACTTTTGTAAAAGTGCTTTCATAAAAGTACTTTTATAAAAGTGCCTTTATGCTTTCATAAGTATTTTCGAAAAAGTACTTTCATAAAGTGCTTTTGTAAAAGTACTTTCATAAATGTACTTTTATAAAAGTGATGTCGTGTAAAAGTGCTTTCGTGTAAAAGTACTTTTATAAAAGTACTTCGTATAAAAGTAATTTTGTAAAAGTGCTTTTGTAAAAGTCCTTTTCATAAAATTGTTTTTGTGAAAGTGCTTTTGTATAAAATTGCATGTGAACACAAGAGTTAATAAAATCTATTTTATTTCACTTTTAAGTTTTAATCTCAAAATAAAATGTGGCATGGTGGTTTTGAAGTYTAATGAGATGTGGCCACAGTAGGAAGAGGCATTAGTTCGAAAGACTACAACTTCTAATTTTTGAGACTTGACAAGTATTGATAGAGTTGACTTTGACCCAACCCATCCTGACCCTAATGGGTATCCTCGACCCAACCCACCCTGACCCTTGTCCGCTAACACTAATGGGTTACTTGACTCACCAATAGATTGAGCGGGCTTAGGTGGATTGGGTGGGTCAAATGGGTTAGGGTCAAGATTGCCAGCCCTAGAAACACTTGTCTGGGTAAGTGCATTTACCCATGTTCTTTTATTTCCCAAGTAAATAAGGTAATGGCCATTTTAGGCATAAAAATCCATTATTAAGAGGGGCATTTTTATCTCATTCAAGTGTTAGCAACTTCCCCCCTAGGTGAGAAATTTATTTACCCACTTAGGAGATAGGTATCACTTACCTGAGTAAGTGGTACCTAGGAAAATAAATTTTCCTTGGTCCCCACATAAATCTGACAAATGAACATGGGATTCTTGGTCAATGGAAACCAAAATTCCATTGGCCAAGTTTCCCCCCTCTCAAAATCCAAAAAAAGAATACCCCCTTAGTTTAATTTATTAATAATATTCAATATCCTCGTCCAAACAAGTTGAATGATTTATATTAAGGATCAAAATGATCAAATGGCAACTAATAACAAATTTGAAATACAATACTCTCTCTACTAGAGGCCCTTATGGAAATTGCTTTTGGTTTAATCTAATAATATATTTGGAATATTGAGCCAGTTATAACTAAACCTACCAAGAAGAAGATGATACTAATATAATTCTTTTCATGATGAGGTTGATTATTTAAAAGAAGGATATTAATATCAAATACTATATTACTTAAACAAATTTTTAATATTAAAGGCTTGTCCACCGTTGCTAGGCAACAATCATCATCTTCATCAAAATCATTATTCCAATTATATAGGGTTGGTTACATGGATCCTATTCTTTGGTTTTGATTAACGCCACATATGTTCATTGTTAAATTACAGACACTTCAAGCATTTCTTATTGTTTCGACCCATGTACTTTTGTCTAACCCTAATTCTTCTATCTCCTTTAAATTACAACATATCACTTATTCTTATGGGTGCTTTTAATGAAGTCTTTGCAAGTGACCAAAGCATCTTAGTCTATTTTTTTTGGGAAAATTCCTGATCTATACTTTTGCTTGAGTGACAATTTGGTCCCCAAACTTAAAAGGCGACAATCCAATACCTGAATTTTCAAAATGTGACAATCCAGTACTTGTCGTTAACAAATTCGTTCATCAGCCGTTAAGTGACATTTGAAAAGTCAAAAGTACCCTAAGAATGCAATCTAATTCTCTTTATCAACCATCCAAACATTGACGATAAAATGAACAGTCCCAAATTCTAGATTCTTCTATATAGTCATCAACCTTTTTGAATAGAAGAGGCTAGGATTTGGGACTGTTCAGTTTTTTTCAACGTTTGGATGATTGATGAAGAAAATTAGATGGCATTCGAAGGGCATTTTTTACTTTTCAAATGTCACTTTATGGATTATTAACGGATTTGTTAACGACAAGTAATGGATTGTCACATTTTAAAAGTTTGGGTACTGGATTGTCACATTTTGAAAGTTCAGATATTGGATTGTTGCATTTTAAAGTTTAGGGACCAAATTGTCACTCAAGCCAAAATATAGGGTACATCGGGAATTTTCCCATTTTTTCTTTTTTTTTTCATTTTATCACCTATTGTTGCAATGCTCCTCCTAGATTCCTTGGAAGAAGGGAATTCACATCTGCACCCCACAAATGCCCCACTAGGGAGATGTTTCCAATGTACTATGAGATGTGCATGTGGGGCATTTGTGGGGCGTAGATGTGGTCTGAGAAAGAGGGAGACAACAAACATCCCAAAGTAGAGATAGATAAATAGGTAGACAAAGATAGATAGATAGATAGATAGATAGAGCACAACCTTCCTAATACAATATTAGCAACCATCATTATTATTAGGGTAAATTACAAAGGACCCCCCTGTACTATGGGGTCTGTGACAAAGGCCCCCTTCTACTTTGTTTTGCGACAAAGACCCCCCTGTACTATGACCATGAGACAAAGACCCCCTTCTGTTAGCCTTTCTCCATAAAGGCATTATAATATTTTTTAATCCCTATATTACCCTTGTAATAACTATTTGGACAAGAGAGAAAACACTGTTCATCTTCCCGATTTCACAATCCTCATCCCTGTTTCTTCCTCCAACTTTTGCTTCATTTCATGCACTCGAGTCCCCTTGAAAATGAACGAAGAACCTTCAATGGCATCGGGAACATTTCAATTCTCATCCATAACAGGGAAGTAGATCCGTAAACGTAGATTGTCAGAAACGTCGAATACCCATTAAGCCAAATAAATTCAGAGCCCAAGAGCCCAGATCCGTATACGTAGATTGTCAAGCCAAACCAAGAGAAAATCGAGATAGGTTTCTCGTAGTAATCATCATCTAATAGTAGAAGAGATTTAGGTACATTCTTTTCTAAGAGACATCTGGTTTTAAGTTCTTGAGATTAGAAAGGAACAAAAATTAAACAGATTTAGATACATTCTTTTTGAGCAAAATTAACACTAACTTTCAGATCTAATTATTACTCACTAGCGTTTTGTTCTGATTTCTGAAGAAACACAGTATTTCCTTCGTGGGTATTTCAGGTTTCCAGAGAATACACTGTTGTTCTCTTTCCTCGTACTTGAAGCAGAGATTTCTTTGTTTTTCCCGGACTTCTCTGTCCTCATCGCCAACGAAGCCACTGTTACTATCGTCGCCGTCTTCTGTTGCTGCTGCTGCTTCTGTGATAACTTCTCGTATAAACATTTCACCTTTTTCAAATACTTCCTTATCACGTCCTTGGCCGACGCGCTCATCCGCTTCACAGAAGAAGGACCCTATACATTCTCTTGGTCTCTATGCTTGTTGTTGTCTTTGCGAAACACAGAATAGAACCTCGCYAGAGAGAAGTACTTGGATTTCTTGATCTATGGGCTCTGATGGTGATGATTGTGGTTGAGACGCTTAAACTTGTCTTCCTCGGTCACCGAGCTCGGCTGCGACGAATCACACTCAGTGAACAAGACGAGATCACCGGAAAAAGAGGAGCTGGAGTCATTGGAGCTGCAGGTCGAGTCTCGAGAAGCGGTGGTAGTGCAGTTGGAGCAAGATGAAGGGCTGGACGAGGCTAGCAGAGGAGTTCGAACCATGGAGAGGCGGGGGAAGATGGAGAGGGAGAAGCTGGCCCTTGTAAAAGAGCTTGTCGGCTGGACAGAGATTGGAGGAGGCCATTCGAGGGGATAGAAAGATGGTGAACTCGAAGTCCGACGAAGAGGTACTTCTCGTGGTGGCTTTGTGGAAAATTTCCATTACTCTGATACCAACAGAAAAAAGAAATGATTAGAATAGAGTAGAATAGAGTGTGCGTGAGATCTTATATATGATGACGATGAATAATAGAGAGAGAGAAATAACATAAAAGAAATTCAGACTTTTCAAGTTCTATTCTGGTCTCTTCTATTTATGAATTGACTGCAAGGCAGAAGAGGCATACCAAATGGGATCAAAGAAAGAGCAGAGATACACTCCTCAAAATAGGATAGAGAGAAATGAGCAGAATAAAAAATAACAATATATATAAAATCTGTATCTAGGCTTCGTCGCCTGAATCGAATCAGTAAGTGAATAAATTAAATAGGTTTTAAGTGAAAAAGGGCAAAAAAAAAAAAGAAAATAAAAAAAGTTTAGTAAAATATTTTAGTAATTTAAGATATTTCTCATCTAATTTAACGGTCAAGGAGGTCTTTGTCTCACGGTCATATTATAGGAAGGTATTTGTCCAAAACAAATTATAGGGGTCTTTGTCATAGACCGGGTCTTTGTAATTTACCCTCATTATAACTTTCTTTCTGAAACCTGATACCAACTTCTTCCCAACTCTTCTTCCGCTTGAAATCCCCAAACCACTCTTGTCCCCACTCTCTCTCTCTCTCCAAATCATCACCTTCTTCCTTTCTATATAAACAAATGGTCTTGTGTTTATTTCTTTCAGAAAGACTTGATAACGCAGCCCTGAAAATTCTCTGGTTTCCATTCACTGACCCATCACCACAGATCTCTCTCTCTCCCACACCCACACACAGGGAACGGTTTTTTTCCTGTCTTCTCTTCATCTCTCTTACACACATGGACAAGCACATATATAATATAGGGTCATCGCCGGCGATGGAAGCAACGCCAACAACGTTTGTGCAAGCAGACGCGCACACGTTCAGGGAGCTCGTGCAGAAGCTAACGGGAGCCGGGGAAGACGATTCTGAGAAACTCCCGATCACACTTCCAGCGAGATTCTCAGCTAGATCGTCGAACTCCAGCGAAGTCGTGGGCCCTCGTCGGTCAGCTTTCAAGCTCCAAGAGCGGAGACAGAACATAAGGAAGATGGAAATCAAGCTGGGCCTCACGTCTCTCCGCAACTCACCCACCTTCTCCCCACCAATTTCGAGCCCGGTCACCCCTCTGAGCTCCGACCCGCTATTCTCCGCCTACTTCCCAGGTTCCGGAAGCCAGTCTCCGTCGTCGCCCGCGGTGTCGGAGGAAGAAAAAGTGATAGCAGAGAAAGGGTTCTACTTGCACCCGTCACCGTTGAATACTCCTCGAGATTCTGAACCGCCCGAGCTTCTTCCACTGTTTCCTTTGTCATCTCACAAGCATCAACCTGGGGATCCTTAAAAAGTTCCTACAACCGTAGGTACGACGGAGAATTTTTCGGGTTCTGCATCTTCTCTTTTTACGATGTTTTCGTTTTTTGCCATTTTTGGTGGGTTCTGAGCACAGTTCAAAAACCTAAATTCTTGTTCAGGGTTTCTGTGTTTGATAAATATGGCTCATCGAATCCGAACTCCCAAAGAACTCCAATGGACGTATCATGATCTTTACGTTGGGAATTCAAACCAGCTTTCGTCGATTTTGCTTAAAATGATAAAATCAGCGCTTTGAACACTGAAGCAAGTCTAAAAATCAGTTCTCTCATCGATATCTCGTTAAAGAAAATGCTTTTCATTCAAATTGGGCAACAAAATCACTAATGTAATCACGAAGCTCAACGACTCAAACAGACAAACGGAAACAGTACTTGATTTTTAATTTTAAATAAATTAAAATTACAAAAAAAAAAAGTGAAAATAGGGGTATTCTGGCAACTTAAATAAATTTTGACTGATGAGTGATGAGTCGATTAAATCCATTTCTGAGAGAATAATGAAACCGTTGGAGCGATCCGCCTTTCATTTCTTTTTGAAATTCTGTGTACCGGGCCCCACATGCGTTCGTATTCGGTTTTATTGGGCCCCACAGGCAGAACAAGTCTCTGATGCTTCGGTTGGGCTATGATATCATTGTGAGAGACGACATGCCCGGTGTGATGTGGACCTTTTGGATTCTTTAGGGTCGAGACGGACGGCAGTGATCTKATTAGCCTGTCGGGGGAATACCTAGAAGCTCTAGTCCTTAGGTCACATGACAAGGACTATAACTCCGTGGCCCCTACTCCATTTAACGCCATCTCTCTTGTTGCTTTCATGAGTTTCGATATATCGATACTATACACGGATACAAGGCTTAGTGTATCCGTATCTACGCGTATTAGACCTGGCAAAAAGTTGTCAACTCAAAAAAACAGGGTTAGGGTCTCATATTTAACTATTCSAATGTGACTTGATAGGATCCAACCTGTTGGGTCATGTGTCAGCCCGCTGATTTAATTGTCAAATTTAATTGGGACTATTTATGTATTGTTAGAAGTTTTCATTCTTTAATTTTTTTCTATTTAGTCTTTTTATTGTTCTCTTTAAATTATTAAATGTTTACATTTTTTTATTTTATATTTAGAATTTTAAGGTTAATTCATTTAGTTTTGGCATTTTTCATGTAGCTTTTTTTTATTTTTTTTAATTTTAGTTATTTTTTTGGATAACCTGAACTGACCCATGGGTTAACCCTAACCCGACCATTTAGGGTTAGGGTCTAGCATTTGATAACCCAACCCGACTTGAAAGCAACCTGAACTGTCTTGACCCGACCCGAACCCAACCCACCCGACCCACCCAACCCAATTGCCAGGTCTAGTGCGTATCCTATGACTTAAGATCTAAAAATTATAAAATTAATTAATTTTATTTATTTTAAATGATTTATATATTTTATTTTATATATAAATTATATGTTAAAAATGAAAACATATTTATTATTTGACAAGAGATTATGTATATAAAAATGCTAAATAAATAGAATTTCCCAAAAAGATAATAAAATTTGTAAATTGTAATTATAAAAACTGAACTAATTTGTATGTTAAAAATAAATTATAAAAATATATTTATTATTTAAAAATAAAGATTATTTGTATAAAAATACTAAATAAAAATTTTTCCCAAAAAATGAATAAAAATTGAAAATTATAATTATAAAATTGAAATAGGGTGATAATTATTGTATGACATGTACAGCTTCCAAAGTTCCGGTATTGTTGATTGTAATGTTTCTCTTTATATAACCTATTAAAGTGTGCATTTCTCATGTATTTATCGAGGTTCAAATATCGATACGCCCGATACGTTGATAGGAGCATATCGGGCAAATCAATACTGCGTTTTTTACTTTTTTTATTTTTTACGCAACTGGTTCAGGGGGGCCGGTTTAGGGCTCCTCCACCCCCTGAACCAGTCAGACACCTGATACACCCACTGTTGGGGGGTATTGGAGGGGTCCCGGAACTCATGCCTTGGTTTATTAGAGGGAGTCAAAACTAGAAAGGGGTTAAGACTTAMGAGAGATTAAAGAAAAAGGAGGGATTTATCGGGGAGAAGGGAGATTTTACAAACATTAACCGTGAGAGAGGGAGATTTAAAAAAAAAAATCTTATTAGAAAGAGCAATGATGGATTTTATTAGGGATAATTAAGACATGAGAAGTTTTTATTGTGAATTCTTATATATTAACAATTTAATTTAAAAATAACATAAACACATGTGTGAGAAAAATGAGAAGAAGAAGGTCCTTTTTATTATTATTATTATTTTTTTTGCATAGGAATTGGGGGTGGGGTAGAGCATGCATGCACATGAGGCCCATTGGCTAGAGATCAAATCAGGGGTCCGGATGTAGTAGGCACGTTAGGTAAGCACAATGAGTGAGCACCTAATAGCTGTGTGACACATGTCCCAGTTAATGCGTCTTTCATCCAAACGTTTTTATTCCATTTGATAGGAATGGTCTATTATTTTATTATTTTTGTTAAAATAATTAAAAATAAAAAAACAATGAAAAAGAAAAACCTAAACGTGTTGGGAGTTAGAACTCATTGGACTCTCTTCGACCTTTTATCGTTTAGGGTTCTCCCACCTCCGAACCTTCAGAGGTCTTCCTTTTTCATTATTTTTTATTTTTAATTATTTTGACAAAATAGTAAAATAGTAGATAATTCTTGTCTAACGGAACAAAAACGTTTGGTTGAAAGACACATTAGCTAGGACATGTGTCACACAACTATAAGGTTCTCACTCATTGTGGTTACCTAACGTGCCTACTACATCTGGAGCCTCAAATCAGTCCCCCACAAGATTGCCCCCCACAACATCCCACAGCACATCCCCGTTGTATATTGGGAACATCTCCCGATGATGACATGATCATTTCTGGTATTATCATCAAGAGATGTTCTCAATACACAACAGAGATGTACTGTGGGACGTGGGGGGCAATCTTGTGGGGGSGCTGATTTTAACTCCACTGGCTATATATGAAAAGCTGTCATATATGTGGGTTTGTCCCTACTGCAAGGTCATCAATCGAGAAGGAGATCTGTTTGAGCTTTGAGGTTGGAAGACTCTTGGCCTCCCTCTTTCCTATATACTATTATAGTGATAGATATAGGAGCAAGCTAGCTTCTTTTCTCATGGAGCTGATTATGGCTTTAACTAGTTACAAAATTTTAGTTTTATTTATTAATGAGGGTTTTAATTACATGTTTTGTCCTTATTTTAGTATTTTTGGTGGGCACATAATTTAATTAGCATACTATATGATTAGAACTAGAGGACACTAGCTTGAAAATTGAAACCCCTTAAACCATACACAATTAGCCATCATATACTGATCTGTGTAACTATGCTTCATATCCATGAATTCAAATATATTAATGCTGCATATATATTCTTAAAATCTAGTGCAATTTAACAAAAAAAAAAAAAAGACTAAGAAGAAACATGCAAAATGACAGTGTCAGCCTAGAGCTTGGAAAGATAACTATTCCAGAATAGAGTGTGAAGTCCTCAGTTCTAATAAAAATATAAAACTTATTGAAGGAGAAGACGAAGGTACAAATGGAGAGATGATCAGGCTACAATACAAAGCTCACATACTATGAATCAGATCTTTGTTGTGTTTTGTTAGATGCCTATTACAATATTCTAGTAGTAGAAATTAACAACCGTGGCCAGTAAATATATGTTCATCATGATATTCATAAAAAGGCAAGAATTGATACGAGGTAAAGGCAAAACATAGAAAAGACAAAAGTTGTTATGTAGTTGATTCAAGGAAAATAAAAAAGAGTATCAAAAAAACAATTGAAAATAAATCACTTCTTTAAAAGGTAACAAAAAATCCAAAGAAAATAACTATTCGCAATCGAGAATTGGTTCAATACCCACAAAAAAACAAGAATTGGTTGGTTAATGAGACAAGGGCTCATTTGTGGTTTCATGTTTTTACCTATATGATAAGATAGATTTTAGTTCTCTTTGTGTTATATTTGTTTGATAGTGATAATTGTTTTTGCAAGTACTATGGTATAAAATTTTCAATAATAAATGCTTTCCATATTCCACTTGAGAATAGAGTTTTCGTGACTCGTATTCTTACAAGGTATTAATGGGCCCCACATAATGACTAATGTTTGTGTTTGGTATGTGTTAATGCTCAGTCCGTGATGAGGGTAGAAGTGGAAAGTTGGACCGGAGACCTTGGCAAAAGTGTCATTTGTGGTCATCACAAATAGGTATTAGAGACCACAAGGTGTGATTCCGTTGGGAGGAAGACTCCAACGATCAAATCAGTAAATGTAGAGGTGTGAGTTAAGAGAGAACTCTGATTGTTCAAAGAGGGAGTTGAGAGAGAAAAAGAGAAGAAGAGTTTGAAGATAACTTTGGTGGGTCAGGACTGTGGAACCAATAACGAGAACTTGTATAAATCCATGGGCCTCACCGTAAAGTAAGGATCCCATGCATTTTATTACTGACATGCAATCTCATCATTGGATCCACAGCCCGATAAACTGCTAAATGTTCAACTAAACCTTGTAATGGCTCCCTAGGTCGGTTTGTTTCATCCACTTTCGAGTTAAGGCCACGTGGTTGGCTGTTAGCGCATGACAAGTGCACGGGCATTAATGACCCGGTTAGGTCCCACATATACTGGGCATCTGTTATGGTTCCGCATGTTGTATTCAAAATGCTTGGCAAATTTACCAATTACCCTCTGTTCATGTGATGTGAAGTTACCATATTGGCCCCGAGGTGGGGCACATGTTTCTTATTGGCACGTATGATACAACTGCATCAACATCATTTTTGTTTCTACCTTAAACATTTTGGATTGATCACAAATTGGTGAAAAATGTATTGACACATCACATACATACGAGTCACTTGTTTATTGTTGAAATGTCAAATTGACATTAGGGGTAGAGACCTCAATCTCTAGCAATTTGTGTTGGTCAACCTAACAACAACTTAACCTAAAAAAAAACACAACCTAAAAGGAAATAAATACGAAATACATACTAAAATCTATAAAAAAATAAATAAATAATAGAACATTTGTTAAACTAAAAGGAAATTGAATTCCAGTTTTTTATTAGTTTGAGTTGATAGCATTGTTTGGGACTCTGAGC